CAGTAGAAAATTCGCCTTAACGCTTACGTATCGAAATCATGTTGCTCCCGAGAGGGGGGAGGGATCGAAGGAACAACCGTTGCTTCGACGATTCTAAGCGACTGATCGTCTACTACTAAAAATCTTTTGGTAAAAATTGTGCGTCGTTGATGTAGGTGCCACCTGTTTCCTACTGTCTCGCTTGTATTTCCCCGGGAAAATCGACTCGAGATCTCGCGAGGATCTCGGAATGTTGGCGCTGACCCCGTGTATGTACATATACAGGACTCGTTTCAACATACGAGGACGATTCGATAAAAAGCTTCTTCTATAATCATCTAAACGATAATAAATAACGCAACCTCTCTCGACGATCGGGAAACAAACGCGGCTGCCCAACCCCGGCTTTCTCGTCACGCTGACTCGCGTGGCTGAGAGGTCGTTACGGAGACGCGCGCAATCGTTTCAATTAACTCTAAAAAGCAACGCATAGCGCCTTGAAATAACGCGTACTCGTGGCTAAACACATGCTCTGCGTTTAGCTGATCAGCTGATCGTTGATCGAACGTTCTGGCTGGACCTCCATGGACATGAGTGTGACGAGGATGCGACGAGGAAGAGGCAAAGGGACGTCGTCGATCACCCTGTGGGTCACGCAGCTCTCGCAAAGAGCAGAACGCAGTTGCCGCACTTGCACGTGAGTGAAGTTACATGAAGTAGATCGGATCGTTCTCCGCGATGGCGTCCAGCCTGGCCGGCAGGGTTTTCGGTCGTTGAGGAGCCATGGTAGTGGTGGTGGTGGTGGTGGTGGTCTCGTACACGACCTCGCGCGGCGACCCCTTACGTCACATGTAGGTCGGCTTCACCTTGTACGCTCTCTTCCAAACCTCGCACAGACACACGGTGCTGTGGAACCTGTAGAAGATGGCCAGAGGCATGGAGACGTGCGTGATGATGGTCCACGCCCAGAGGCCGTAGAAGTGCAGCTGCACCGGGTGCGACTCGGCCCGCGACTTCTCCAGCGTGTTGATCGCCCACATCGCCAGATTCGTCACCAGCAGAAACGTCACGATCTCGCGGCCTGGTTTCCTTCTAATCTGTTTCGCGGTGGCGACCGACCGCCTCGACGCGTCCAGTATGAAGATCGTTTGGAACGTGGTCTGCACGACGCTCGCCAGCGCGGTGACCAGCACCAGGACCGTGTCCTTGGCCAGGGTGAACTGGGCGCCGATGATCGTGAACGTCGAGTAGATGAACATGCCGGTCTGCGCGGCCACCAGGAGGATGTTGTCCAGCTCTAGGTTCCGGTTGCCGTCGTAGCGGAGCTTTCGCATTTGAAACATCCCTATCAGCGTGGCCATCGTCGACATCCCGTACAGCGTTAGCTCGCAGACGTTCACCTCGGTGACGGCGAAGCTCACCAACTCCGGACGCGATATCAGCACGAAGAACAGTATCAGGGATATGATGGTTAGCACCAGGATCAGTATGCCCACGAACAGGCCTTTGTGGGCGCGAGCGCAGTCCACGCTGTAGTGATGCGGTGATTTCCTACGAGATTAAGACAGATACGATTAAGAAAAACAAAAGACACAGAGTTACGTTCGCTTACCTGTAAGCGTGCGCGTGATGTCTGGATCCGGGGGGAGTCTTGGGTTGGGAGAAGGCCGCTTTCGATATGTTCTTCCACATTACGTACAAGATCGCAGCGCAGATCAAGCTGTACTCGATGGTGCAAGGGAACAGAAACGGGCTGGCATCCTGTACTAACGATCCCATTATGTTCGTTCGACGACACTCGTACATGTGATGCGGCCCCTTCAAACCTCTCGGGAGCCTCAGGTGTTCGCCGTGGTGGTAGTGATTATGCCCTCCGAGATTAAGATTGCTCTTCGAACCTAATTTAATTTCAGCTTCAGTCTTCGTTCGATGTCGTTCGAGCGGGAGCATAACGAGCCTCCTTGTGACTTGAGAGACGACGCAATTATTCAGATACATCCCTCCCCTCCGCTCGAAAGTCCCAGGACAAGTATTACGTTTATTTCAAAGCTGGTCTAGGAAATTAAATGATACGACGGCACAGCAAAGAAGATTCGCAAAGCATCGACATGTTAGAAACTGTGTTATAAATAATACATACTCGTGCAATTGAAAAATTTCATTACGAATATGAGAAATGAAATGTGTCCCAAGAATTTTGAGCAGGAGTGTATATATGTGTATAGTGATCCAGGGAAGTATTTAAATAATTATCGTTGAAAACATTTGATCGCGACAGTCGTGTCTCGCTACAGGATTAACAAAAATTGAAAGAATGGGATGTATACTGTTTTGATGCTCAGTGTTTGACCCGCCAAATTGATTAACTGCACGGAAAAAAAAATAGATAAATTGATAATATAATATAAAACTCTTGATAAAATAGTACACATTCGAGGTTCCTCGAAAAGTGTAAAATTTAAGTTCAAAAGAATCTGCGAAGTGTTAGTATATCAGGTGGATGCAGAAAATATTCGTACACAATACTCATTTTTAAGCGTAAAACTTCTTCTTTCACAGTGCTGACACAGTTTCGTTTCTTCGAAAGTGGGCGGTCAGTGATAATTTTCCTCTCGAAAATTTTCCACATTGAACAATCTTTTTCTTAACTAAATCCACCATGATCTTGAAGATTAAAGTCTCCCCTAAAAATTTAT